TGTCGATAACCTGTAAGTTATATTTATACATTTTGCAAACAAAGGGGGACCGTCTGCCTTTTCAATGTGATTGTTTTATAGAAATAGTAGTTAAGATCAGGACGATATAATTACTGTATTTCCTCCGCTAAGTGCCCGGGCGCTGGATCGAGTCAGGAAGGGGCTCCTAATATAGAGGTTGGGCGCTTGTTCCAAGGGCGATTTACTTAAGAGGAGCTCGCTTATTGGAGGAAATACGGTGATTGAAATTGTTTACGTTTTTGTTGTCTTCGGCTTGTTTCAGGTCCATGTGGTTGAGTCTTCAAGCATTGCTGATCATTGTAGGACTTACGCCTTAAGTTACTCAACAGACTCTGACTTCCAAGGCCACTGCAGTCATTCACACAACGAAACATGTGCACAGTGTTGCCAGCTGCAAGAAGTTCTAAGCATCTTGGAGAGTGAGTGTTCAAGTGCAGTTTGTAATGAGGAGCAGAAATCGGACATGCTACACGCTGTTAAGCAGGCCAGAAATAATATCATGAGCTGGAAAGCCCACCAGTTGCACTCCGTTCACCAAGATCAGGCCAAATGTTCTGTTCTAGCTAAAATGAAGAGCAAATGCGACGTGTTACTAGTGCAGGATTGGGCAATGAAATTTATGCCACGAAAATTTCGAGAGCCGCAATCAGACTGGTTTGCTAAGCGCGGTTTACCATGGCACATAACAGTTGCTATTAGGAAGTCGGAAGAAGGCGAGCAGTTTGAGTCTCAAACATTCGTACATGTCTTTCAGAACTGTTTATAAGACAGTGCTGTAGTGGTATCGATAATGCAGGATTGTCTTGTTTCGCTGAAGAAGGAAATGCCGGAATTAGAAAGGGCGTTTTATAAACAAGATAATGCTGGCTGTTACCACAATGGATACACTATCATTTCAGCAAAATTTGCAGGCGACATTGCTGGCGTGGGCGTGGAACGGAATGACTTTCCCAATCCTCAAGGTGGAAAAGGAATATGCAACCGCCAAGCAGCGACTATTAAAGGAGACATTGGAAGATATGTAAACGAGGGCAATGATGTGACAACAGCAATTAAGCTCAAAACAGCCATAGAGTCTGGTCCAAGATCTTGCGCTAAGGCTAGTTACGTTACATTCAACCCGTCAAGCACTCAGCACGTCAAATGGGATGGTGTAAGCTTACTCAACAACTTCAAGTATGAGGAGAACGGAATACGAGCGTGGAGGGCATTTAACGTGGGTCCTGGAAAGTTGCTACCGTGGTCTCAGTTTGAAGGAGTTTTGCAGGTCCCGGAAACTCTTGAAGTGGTTGATCCCCCATCGCAGAAATTGAGTACTAAGCCATCTTTCAAGAAGGTGAGACACAGACATGTAAATAAAAAATCTGCAAGTGATCCAAACGCAGCCAGTGATGCCAATAGCCGAGAACAAGAAGGTGATGATGGTGAAAACGAGCAAGCCTTGCCACTTTTCCCATGCCCCAAGGAAGGGTGCATTAAAACATACAGCCGCTTTGTATCATTACAAGCACATCTAGACACGGGGAAACACAAGCGACTACCTGAACAGGAAACGCTGTATGACAAAGCAAAACGAGGATATACTTCAAAGCTAATGGATGAAGGTAGCAGGATTTCCACTGTGCAGTTACAATGTGAAGAACAAAACAGCTAATGCTTTTCACCCCTTACAATGGGATGGGCACTTAAGACAATCACGAAGAAGACACGTTTTACACAAAAACAGAATGAATTTTTGAAACAACAATTTGAAATTGGCGAGCAGAGTGGAAGGAAAGCAGATCCGAATGAAGTCTCAAAAATGATGAGATCTTCAAGGGACGAGTTAGGAGCTCGTCGATTTCTACTAGAAGAAGTTCTAACAGGACAGCAAATCACTGGATTCTTCTCACGACTGGCAGCAAAGAAAAGGCTTCCTCCCAGTACAGTGAACCGGGAAGAGTCGGACGAAGAGACCACTAGAGAAGATGACAGAGCATCACAAGAACAGGTAATCCAATCTGAAATCTGTGCACAAGTGATGAGAGAGGTTTCCCTTCAGCACCCTCTTGTATCGTCGTCAGGTTACAACATCTGTGAACTCATGCGCATGGGCAAAAAAAAGCTGATGCCACTGAGTGTGGACATGCTGCGCAGTATTTGCGATGAACTTGGTGTGGACGTCTCTGATATAACACAAAGACAAAAGAATCCGTTTATTAGTCGTCTTTCAAACCTTGTAGGCGAGTGCGGCTGTACCTCATAAGCAGATTAATAAACTGTTTTCTGTTGACTAATTATGCCTTGCGCATAATTGTATACAAGACAACATCTCTTATTTTCTTTCGAAAAAATCGTTTCATTTGATCGTTATCTTTTTTTAAAAGTG